AACGGGCGTGTAAACAGCTACTCTGCAAAATTTGAAAGAAATCACTCTCTTATACGATATTTTTTATATTGTGATTTGTTGTTGCTAAGTAATGATTTAGAAGGTCATTCAAGGTTATGTTGATCATGTAAGCCGATCAATGTCCCAAAATCACTAAAGGTGATGCTTCTAGCTCTTGACATAATGTTCACACTCGTCATCTGACATGTATCACGCACGAATCACAAAGTCTCCGACAAGAGAATTTAAGATTGTTTTGTAAAAGCTATTTAAGGTAGTTATGAATCACCTGAAAGGCATCTTCTTTATTTAATAGCTGTTAAGGACGAAGTCATGAAGAAAACTGACATGGACAATTTGGGCTTTGCTTACGACTTCAAGTCCATCATGCAATACAGCAAGACCACATTTGCTAAGTCATCAGGCCTGGTCACCATGGAAGCGAGGTCGGATCCTAATATGGAGCTTGGCAACGAAAACGCCATGTCCGCGGCTGATATCATGAAGATTAACAAGTTTTACAACTGCCTACAGAAAAACGACGTGTGTAAGTGGAAAAGGCAATAGAACTATTGAACAATCTGACTATGTTAAGTTGCAAATGTAAACACAATTGATAACTTCATAAGTAGGGTTTTTATTTTATTGCCAATCTGAAAGCAATTACTCCTTTCACTCTCAAGATCAAGAAATCAAATTATTTACATTTTCTACCATACATTTGTTGAAATTTTCGTGCGAGAAATTTGGCGTGAAATCAAACATAGACCTAATTTTTCTTCCCGTTACCCTTCTGCTTGAAAATGTATTGACACCATGAAGAAGAATTCCTCCTTTCTCACTCGAGTGTTAAGGTTAAATAAATATCCCACGTAGACATGATCGGTTAACAGGTCCGGTAAGCAGACCGATTTGACATCGTGACGCACTTTACGTCGATCAAGTGTCCTAAATAAGATATATTTTTGTCGTTATCGAATCACGAAGAGCTCCAAAGAGCGTTCACTCTAACTTATGTGTATTCGTCATTGTGTATGTTGTTGGGAGCCGTAACAATCATCTGTTGAAAAGCTACTCTTTCTTTTCAAACTTAAACCCTCTACGCCCTAACATCAGTCTCTATTTTCTCTTTACTGTTCTCTATACTTTTCCTTTGGTGCTGACAAGGAGAATTTGTTTAAAATCAAAGCCTCTTAAGTTGGCTATCACTTCTTTCATTATCATGACCCTAATGAATGATTCAGTAGTACTTCTGTAGTGAAAGATCATAAATGCTGGTCACTCCTATGGTTCAGAGCTGCGGTTGCCTTGCTTTTCATAACGTTATTCGAGACACGTAACGGAATGGAGTTATGTCTGATCTTTTGTTTTATTCTTCAGATAAAAACATGGAGGTAATGGTGCAAACTGGTGATGGATATTGGGATGGTTCCGACGCCTTTTTGTACCTCGAGCTGATCGGTGATAAGGGGAGCTCTGGGGAGAGTAGTGTTGCAAAAGGCGGCCTTTACGACGACTTTGAGGGGAATGCGTGAGTTGCGATTAGAGCGAATTGTTAAACTTAACTAACATTCTTACGATACAGTCAAGACAAGTTAAGTATTTTTGTAAGTCACATCTACGTTATATATTGATTAAAAAAAAACCGATGTCGTTTATTGCCATAATCAAAATTAAACCTGCATCTTTAAATACGCGGTATTTCTAAGATTTTGTCTTTTTGAGGATCTCATCTATCTGAAAATTAGTTTTAGAAATTTGAAGTGAAGTTAAAGGAAAGATTGGAATCTGATCTAACTTAAAAGTGGTTAGGTCTACCTTATCTAATGACAGATTTAAACGCTGGACTACCCTGTGCAGTAAGTTAAAAATAAAGGGGTAAGTTTCTAAAGAAACTGTGGTGCTGCGTCGGTGGGAGAGTATAGCAGGTAATTTAGTGTCAACAACTGGGTTGAAAACGTAAATTAGCCACCGTAAAGGGTAAAAAAGCTGACGTTTCGAGCGTTAGCCCTTCGTCAGAGCAATTAAAAGTACGGTTAAATATTTTAAAAGTGCACCATCAGCTTTCGTTTGGTTAGTCACACACAAGGACTTTAATCAAACCTTCAAAGGATCGGAGTATTATACTCCAGAACCGTGTAATTTCTATCTCTGTCATTAAAAAGTATTGGTAAAATGATAACACTGGCTGCTTTGTGAAATCTCAGAGAGTAACCCAACCTTTCGAAGATTGTCTTTGAACGTGGTGAAAATTTTATGTAGGACGCTGATATTTTGAGTCTTGCGTTGCCGCTATCTAAGACGAAACAGAGCCTCATTTCCATTTTTTCAACCTCTTGATGATCAGTTCGAACAATTAGGAGCCATAGCGAAAGGCATATTTGCCTAAAATTTTTTTTTTCGTGTGATAACCAGTGACGCAGCTGTTTTCGACCACGTTTTATGGTATCGCATCTATCGCCAGGTCACTAAGCTGTTTTTCAATGGTAGCGTCCATAATAGGACTATTTTAGCATGTTTGGAGACAACTTTCGAAAAGTCAAGTTACTTTTCAGTGGCGGAGAAGACCCAAAATATCTCTGATTAGATCAAAATGACCGTATTTGGTGATGTTTGAGTAATTCACTAAGGGTGTCTAAGAAATTTAATTTGACAAGCACATGTGAGGACTGACTAGTTTTTTGTTTTGTTTTTTTTATTTCAGGAAAGACAACTACCTTGTGGCATTTAAAGACGTGGGCACTATTCGAAAGCTGAAGATCAGATTACAAGAAAACCCTGACGGAAGTTATTTTGACGGGTGGACTGTTGCTAAGGTAAGATTTACTGAAACAACTGTGCACTTAACAAATCGCTCGACAAACATGCAAGAACTAAATTTCATAAAGTATACTCGAAGAAAAGTCTAGGTAATAGTTGGCGCGTTTGTCTCGGAATCTGGCCTTTCAGGCAAGCAAAATCACATTTCTTCAACAACTTTCCATGTAACATGGAAAGTTTTAGAGGAACTTGATGTTAAAATCAAGGGAACGTACATGTATTTTAAGGTGAGCGCTTTAATTTAGAGCCAAATAAAACGCTCTAAAAACTGTACCACCTTGATCATAAAATGTTCCCCTCTGTTTAGGCTTTTAACTCGTATCACATCACGTTCTTGTCTTTTTCCAATAAAATGGAGTTGCATCGATTAATAACAGTTACAGCAAGCTGGGAAAAGTTACTTCAAAGAAGCTACGTCACCACTGGTGAATCTTGGAAACTATTTTGTCTCCTTCAATTGCAATCCGTGTAAATCTTTACCTTCTATAACCATTCCCGTTACTTTTTGTTTATTCTTACCACCTAATCGTTTTTCTACGCCGGATGTTAAACGATCACTGCAAGGTTTTTATGTTACTTAACGAACCCACTTTAAAAAGCTAAAAGTGATCTTAAGTACCTTATCGTAGCACTTATCATAAGAATCTTTTACTCTTCTGTAGATCACCGTCAAAGACGGAGACAAAACTTACATTTTCGGCGAAAGAGATGTTTATCCTGGAGAGACTGTTACTGTAAATGCTTCCTAAACATAATATTCCAGGCATTTATGGGTTTAATTTAATCGTTCTGTTGATTATGATAAACAAAATGAAGGTTAGATACCAATGCAGATGTAGTTTGATGTCACGAACCCCCATGTAAATGAAATTAAAGTGCAACAAGTGAACTTCCATGACCTGTGCTATCGTATGAAAGTAAACTCAGTTTGAAAGGATCAATTTAAAAGCAGATAATGGCGAGCCTTTGGCTTAAATAGTTGTTGTGAAAAAAGTGTAACATTGCAAGTGATAACCCCGAAAGGTATTGTGGGAGGTTTCAAGTCACGGTTCCTTGAATGCTAGTAAAATCTGAAAATACGACACTGTAAGGACGAGGCATCGCAGGTTTAATGAACTAATTTTTTTATTTCTTATTTAAATTCATTGAGTACCGGGACACCCAGATTACCTTTCGAGATTGTTTCGTGCACTTTTGGCTTTTTTTTTCCCGACACTTTCTCGAAACAGCTGTATATTAACAAAGGCTGGCGTTGGTGGTAGCATTTTTTTCTCGCAAAGCGACGACCATGCAACAACCGTCTGCAATAACGACCGAACAACCTCTTACTTGATTTGTTCTTTTATTAAAATAGCTTTGCTGTCTGAACTTTCAAGTCATTTTAACAGTCAGTCTTATTCTTGGTAACGAACCCGTTACCAACCGGCAGCTATCCATAATACTTTTCGACTGTTTCTGTTTCCACCACGAAAAGTGCGCGATTGTTATTTGTATCTTTCCGAGATAGGATCTCAAAAATGATTAGAAAAAATGGATTTTTCTGCGCTTTTCTACCTTTTTTCCGTTGTGCTAAAACTGCGAATTTCCGTCTCAAGATCGGATTCCGGTATTGAAAGTGATATTTTGCATCACAATGAGAACAGTTCGTTATGGAATACCACTGTTCCAAATCTGAAACCCCCTCCGTAATAAGACTGGCACGTCAAAATTTAGAATTTTCTCAACCATAAACGACACTTTTGATTGTTTTTGTAAGTAAGACGCCGGATCTTTTTTAATTCTATTTTCCTAAAGTTTTTTTAAGTCCTTTGACGCTTCTCGAGCTGCCAAACGACATCATGTATCGCGAGGGCACGACTGCCAACGTGACAGCTAGCGTGACACCTGCTGTGGCGGGTTTGAGGTTGCAATATTTTTCATTTGATATAGAACTTTGCAAAGGTATATCATTATCAAAATGTTTGCCGAAAACAATAATTCGACGTAAGGTCAGCAAAATCGACCCTTAACAAATAAAATTGATGTTATTGTGTAAAAAAGAAGAAAGCGAGCAAGATAACAAGTACGGCAGAAACGCGAAATTGCGGTGTTGCGTGATCTGCTGTATGTCACCAATTACGCTTCCAACATAACAGAAAAGTCATGCAATCACAAAGTCACTCACATGACGTCAATAGTCAGAAGGTAAATGTCTCTTCAATCTGACGATATAAATTATGTTCGAAGGTTACTTCCTTAATTTCGTAAAAAAAACACTTTCATTTGTAGTCCCTTCGTGAAAGAGCTAGGCAACACAGAAATCTTTCACAGTTACTGTCCAAAGTTGAAGGTACTTGGCACAGCCATGTTGGTGAACATGTATCCTCCTTGCTGTTCAATTCGCCTGGACTCTGTGGGATAGAAAATAGCCGAGAGTCTAACCCAAGAACTAAACACAGAGAGCCTGGCTAAGGTTGAAATGAAGAGGATTGGTGCACTGGATTTTAAGTCGTGTAGTTTACCTTTGTTACTGCTCAATACATCATCCAGAGATGATAAATCAATCGATGAGCCATTGATCGATAAAATCCTTTAACCAAACCGTTTATGACAATAACTGACCAATCCTCTAAACAATTTTGTTACCACTGACCCTCAACAGCCTGTAAGCACGCCCTTAACTTTGCACTGCAGGAAGCACGTTTCTCCGCCTGTGGGAAGATTGGCGGCTCGCGCTGCTCAAAGCCTCACACTTTCCCGCGGGCCAACCTTTAACCCTTTCCACCCTAACATTAGAATGCGTGTTCTGCACACTGTTCTTTATACATTTCCTAAGGCGCTAACAAGGAGAATTCGTTTGCCAATCAAAAGGTTCGTTCTCCGGTGACCATTTCCTTTATTCTCATAACCTTAATGTGTGATTCGGGCAGATATTGCAGGGAGAAATTAAATGCTGGTCACTCTAAGGGTTTAAAGGGTTAAAATGAATTGATGACTGGCAGTTGATGAACTAACTGACAGATCAGCTGACTCGCTAAATAACTCACCCAACGATTGACCGACAGACTGACCAACAAATTGGCTGGCCTACAGACTGACCAACTGACATAAAAATGACTGACCTAAAAGTTACGTTCGACTATTCTACTATTTCACCCTTTTTGGCTGGTTGATAATTGGCACAGTTCTCACCTAGTGAAGCTCTCTTCTGTTCCGCCAGTACAAGCACTTCCTGTAGTGAATTGCCCTGCTCTTCTGTTAACACACTTGTCAAAGCAGAATACCATTCTGGGTCATTGGCCTGAAGGGCTAAAAGTTGAACACATTTACTCTAACCCACACATAACATTAACATGAGCGATACGGACAAAACACTAACATTTAATACTTCTATTGCTTTTGCCGACGCAAAAGAAACGCATGCAAATCACACGACGCCAACCCTGTACTCACCTTGGAGTGAATTCCTAAACGCAATATATTCATCAGTTTCTTCGTTATCCACAGATGTAGTAAAATTCTCCAGAGCTGTCTCCTCATCTTCCACATCATCTTCATCATCTAAGTGGTCAGCGGCCTGCAAGAGGGCAAAAATAGGATTTCACGGTTGTAAATATAAGAGTTTAACACGCTAGGTTCTTAAGATAATGATGGTGCTCACTGTTAGCATTGATCCATTTTCACAAGGGGTCATTCACCTTGACAAATTGCTTTTGTACGTACGGTTCGTATTATTTCGAACCTGTAAAATTCCATAAGTTAACATGGCCTTGTCCACGATTTTTTCAAATCTACACGAACAGAATTTAGTTTCAATATGTAATCACGTTTTCCGGTTACTCAAGCTCAGCGCATCACCCGTGCAGTTCACTAAGGAACGCTCAGAATAATGAGCATGTAAGGCGATAAAAACCGCAATGATTCCCCCTTCAAAACATGAACTATGCATTATTATCAATTGCAGCCAAACTGGCAAAAATCTAGATAGTGTATTCGGCGTTTCGAACGAGCTACCTTGAGCACTTACTTTCCGGAATATTGTGCTAGTATCTTTTTTGATCCGATTATTTCTCAGCCTAAAGACCAGCCAATTTGTAGTCAGTCAATCAACTGGTCGGTCGATCCAGTCGTTCGTTGAGTATAGATTCAGCCAGTCAGCTTATCAGTCAGTTAATTAATCAATTGTCTGACATCAATTCGTTTTAAGGTCGGCAAGTCAATTTTTCATTTAGTTTGTTATCTGTTAAAACCTTGCATCAGTAAGACATATTTCTACCTTTTTCGCCAAATTTTCAATATACTGAATGTCATCTTCGTTTATTTCATCCTCGTCACTCGCTAGTTCATCTAAGAAAAAGTACAGAATAAAAATGAGTCAAAACTCTCACAAATGGAGCAAAAATAGTCGTCCGTGCGACAAGGTTTTTTGGCGTTGTTTCTCCATCCAAAATTAATCGTTGAAAAATGTAGAGGCTGCCGAATACTGTCTTGAAATAACAATTGAATCTCATAGCCTGTATTTTCGAAACGACAAGACCAAAAGACGTGAAAATTAGCATCTAGATGCAACGCAAGTGTGAGTAGAGTATAGAGAAAGTAAATCATCAAGAATTCCAACTAAGAGAAGAGAAACTTGTTGACACCTGATAAATGGCCGTGGAAGACTGAAGTCTGCACTTGCGAGATATAAATTAGAGTTGAGTAGCAGAGCTAGGGAATTAAATGCATGGCCTTTGGATTTCAAATCCAGCTTCTAAAAAAATTAAGCCACGACGCCTCAGTGCCAATAAAAGAAGAGAAAAGATAAACCCCAAGACAAACGGGAAAATCGCCAAGAGACGGAGGCTCACCTTCATCAGATGCCCCTTCCTCGTCATCTTCATTCTCACCTTCGCCTTCACCTCGGTCTAAAACAATCAAATAACAAATGAAAATATCACGTTGATTTGAATATGATTGGCATCACGAAGAAGAAACAAATGAATAAAGGGGGTAAGTTCCTGAAGAAAGTATGGTGCAATGTCAGTGGGGGAGGGGAGGAGAGGGGAGGGGGGCATAACGAGATAATAGCGTTTTACCAACTGACTTTAAAATGTAAATTGGTCACCGTAGAAACTTTCTTAAAACTGACGTTTCGACCATTACCCCTGCGTCAGGGCGAATGGCGAGGGGCGAACGCTAAAGACTTCAGCTTTAGAAACTCTCTACGGTAGCCAATTTATATTATAAACTCAGTTGTACAACCAAAATTAACTTAAAAAAGAAAACCGGCAGCAACAGCAGGCTTTAATCATTGTTCAAATTTCTGAATAAATGTATTTTACAGTGTTAAGGTTGAAAAATTGTTTCCTTATCAACTAAACAACGGTTGTTAAGGAGACCAGCGAGAAATATACAGTAAAGTCAACATTTCACTATGTGGAAATATAGCCCATACTTTCATACGCTCTTTTGAGTCCTTGGAATAACACTAACAAGGCCGGGAGAATCTGGGGCGAGCACTGAAGGAGGGCCTGTGGTCTCATCTGTTTTGGAAGATCCATGAGTGCGCAGAAACCCAACACAAACATCTTGCGATCATGAATACTACAACAGAAAAGAGTAGCCAGAGTTCATCAGTAACAGCTAGGCTAATCGAGGACATAAATCTTCACTACTCCTTAGTCTAAAATCTAATGAATGTTAGAATTAAGTTCAAGCAATCAGTATATGCAATGAGACAATAGGAAGACACCTGTTGACCAGTTGCAGGTACAACACACGAGAACTCAGAAGTTGGAAAGATTAACAAGGAAAATCAAAAGTTACCCTAAATGATGCTACAATACGGGATCCCTAAGAACTGCTCATTTTTTTTTCGCCAGCAGGGAGGGGAGGGTGGGTCGGAGGACTTAAGTTGTGTTTCGATAAAATTTACCTGATCCCCCTTAAGGCTCTTTTGTATTCTCACGATTCCTCCTTCCCACCCCCACTGGTAGTCTCTTTTTTATAGTTCTCATTTATACTCTGTTATCGACGACTGATCCCCCATCCATCCCTCCCTGAAAACCAAGTGATTCCTCCCCAGGAAATGAGTAAGTTTCCCAGTGCAAGTTGGTAATTACAATGTCGGAAAAAACCAAATCGGACCGAACGAAGTCATCTGGAGCAACAGCGCCAAATATCATGTTCTCGATTGTCTCAAAACGCTAAAAGTACCAAAATCAAAATATTTTGTCTCCGCTTACCCGAAAAAACAGTCGTAGTCACTAACCCAGTGACTAAAAAACTGCGCCGTCACAGTTTCGTTCGTATTTGGAAAATGGAGTTTGTCCAGAATACTTAATAGGAGGGGAGTATTGTATATTAACCCCGCGATAGCCTGGAATCACAAAACAAACGCAGTTAGTAAGCTCTGAAACAAAAGTTTCAATGAAGCCATAACTAAGTGACAGGCCAGCAAAAAAAACCAAAAACAAACAACGAAGTTGCAGCTACGTGTTTCACTTTTGTCACGAAGTTTTCACCTCCTTAATTCTCTATCTTTAAAAAAAAAACCGACTTTGGGAAACTTGAAACGTACATTCAAAACTTTGATGGATCGATTCCATCAACATTTCACTGAGATGCAAAAAGAAAGCTTTATGTCACAAGTCCCTGAGAAATATACTGCTTGAGGACGTTTACTGCTCGTTTCTACTGAAACTATGTGTTGTTGTGATCTCCCTTACCACTTGTAAGCACATAGTTCTTAGTTCACTCTCCTTCACCTCCCTTGTCAATCTCTCCAGCGCTGCTTCAATGTAAAACGGAAGCCACTGAAAGAACAAAGAAATCTCTGTGTGGGCTAGAGCTTAATGTTGGACCGCAGAATTCCATATTTACAGCTTATTGTATAACTGTCTCTAAACCGTTAGCTCTACAAAGTAATTTGGTGTTATCAACTAAGTTTATAACGTAAATTGGCCTCTGTTAAGAGTTTTAAAGCTGACGTTCCGAGCGTTAGCCCTTTATCAGAGCCCTTCGTCAGAGCAACCTCGCTTTGACGAGGGGCTAACGCTCGAAACGTCAGCTTTGAAACTCTTAACGGTGGCCAATTTACGTCATGAACTCAGTCGATAATACGAAATTACCCTGTTATACTCTCCCATGGACGCAACACCACAGTTTCTTTAGAAATTTACCCCTTTTATTCGTTACTTCTACAGCTTGCTACAAAAGCGCCCAAGTTGTCAAATTGGAGACTTCTGTTGCGAATTCAGTCGCTAAAATATTCCCCTGCTCGCCACGGCGACCAAAACGGTCGCAGCGTCGAGCACTGGGTCATTTAAATAATTATTGTATTTGACAACCATTCAGTTAATTACCTTACCTGGTCTATCTGTCCATGGCATTGAAGTATTGTTACTTCTAACAGCTTTGCTGCATTGCACTGCTGATCTTCTGCTGCTGACGAATCTGTTAACATCTAATGACGAATGGAAAGAATCCTGAGTGTAAACCCTTTAATTCCCACAATGGGATTGTCGATTCTCCCCTCTGGCTTCCATAAATTATCTTGTAAATTAGTCCTGAGAATTTGGCCTCGGATCAAGATAATAACTACAACTTGATATGTTTGGGTATTCTCAATGCCTTTTTGCTAAATAATGTATGAATATAATAGGGAGAAGTTTCATATTAATCAGTTGTGGGAGTTAAAGGGTAAAAAGCCAGGATACTTTAAATGCGTATTCTTTGACCATTAAGTGAACACGTAGAGGTATAATTTTAAATTTAATAAGGACAATATTAGCGACATGTTTATATGGCATACCTTTTTACACATGTTGTAGATTATCTCAAGGTTCTTTGAATTTGCTAGAAAGGCAGGTGTGTCCACTGTGATGTAGTTGTGTAAACATGGCATCATTTCTGGGGGGCAAAAATGCATACAGTTTAAGCTTCATGAATTTTTTACTAGTAGCATATCCTGCGACTAACGTACAGTAAATGATACATTTTGGATGAGTAAAAATCACGCAGCTGAATTTCCGCCAAGTAAAAACCCTGAAATAGCAGGTAATTCTTCAGAGTTCACTATGCAAGGTTCCCTCAAAAATGTACTCCAAAGTAGAAAGGGATGCACATACCTAAAGCAATCATTTCTCAACATGTCATGGACTCCAAGTCATCAACGGTTACATAAAGTAAATTACGACTCAATACCTGCAAAGTAGTCAAAGGCATCCCTCTGGAAAGCTTCATAAAGCATGTAAAAGACTGCCCACATGGACTGCGAGATCTCAAAACATGTACAGGTGCAGATAATGGACAGAATGTCTTCATAGAACTCTGCGCAGAAATACAGTAACACTATTAATGAGAGAATAGCTTAAATGTAGTAAGCCAGAAAAAATATCTACTCCTTACCCATTACAGACAGCTCTAGAACCTTGGCTATTAAAGAAATCACGACTTGTTCCAGTTGAAGTACAATCTGAAAAATGATATCACTGTGTTAAGAAAATTTACATTTTAGTCAATCAATAATCTTTGTCACCAAAGGACTATTCCTCTAAAATAGTAGCTACCTAGGTACCCAAATAAAAACTTCACCAAATCAATGACATTAAATTCATCTTACAGCTTTAGATCCTTCCATCACATTCAACATTGTCTCCAGAGTGTTCAGAATTCCCATGGCAGTAACAGCTTTCTCATCACTATCCTCCCCATCCAACAACTGAACAAAAGTGCTTGCCTGTGGAAAGAAGACAATTTTATCAGAAAATATCATACTTATGAACACTTAAATGATGCCTTTTTCCAGGATTACATGTTGATTTTAACGGAATACAGTCTAATTCAAAAGTTAAAAGGATGTTTTACAAGCCCAAGGCAAACAATTTTTTCTTCAACACATAACTAAATTTCAATTTGTCCTACCAGATCTCTGGCAATGTCTATTGCAATGCTTGCCACTTGTTCCTGATGTCCATATGTTGAGATGAGTTTCTGCATCACTCCTGTCAAATCATCATTCTCTGTTTCACGAATAACTTTCAGCAGTTCTAGAGGAGTACAAACAAAAATTTTATCACACTGAAGGCTGCATGGTTAGTCAGAGGGGACAAAGATAAAATGAGCACAACACATGTACATGTAAGCCCTTATGACAAAACATTCATACGAAATTCTTTACAAAACTGCATGCTCTTAATTTAACTCTTAGAGGCCAAGGCATCCAAATACGGACCTTCTACAATCTTTGGAAATACTTCACCAAAGGGCAGCCAGAATAATATATAATTTACCT